CAGCAGCCCTTTTCTGGAAAGGTACCTTTATAGTTCTAGGGAGCCGGTTTTCCACATCCGAAACGGTACGCCCTCCGGAACGAACTGCGCATGCGTGAGTCTTCTGCAGTAGCACATGCGCAGTTCGTACCGAAAGGCCTATCGTGCAGTATCGGATGTGCAAAAAACGGTTCGCTAAACCTCTGCTTGAAGGCGAAGACCGGTAAAGAGAGCACATCTCCCAGCGTTAAAACCAAACAATAAAAATATACAAGGAAAACTAATTGCCACACTCTTTTTCAGCTTGAACGTCTTGTCCGCATTTTGTGGTCTGCTAAAGGAGGAGGGGGTAAATGACTTAATTGCCACGTTAAAGCGATATCTTTTTCTTTTGTATGCGACAGTGTGAGAATTTAGTATTGCGGATGTAGGGTGCAACGCACCCACAGATCCATTCTTCTCATGAAAATAAAAGAGATGGCTCGAGGCGCACGCGCCTCGGAGAGCGCGTGCAAGAGAGTGCTCTGAAGCCGCCATCACAGGCAGACACGTCGTTCGCTTGTCTCGCTCTATGTCCTCACTTTAAATAACGTGGCAGGGCCTCGCGGCCCCCCCCCCCCCCCCCCCCCCCCCACAATACTTTTTTTTTTCTGGTTTACCTCAATGGTTTATTAGCACGCAACAAAATAAAACAAAAAAAAAAGTATTGTGGGGGGGGCCATGCAATAGCTTCTTCTTTCTTTTTAATACGAAAGCATTAATTCTCCCATGGAGCGTGGCCACGGCGTTGTCTGTCGCAGCGAAAATGGCACCTAAATTCCCATTGGCTGATCGAAGCGGCACCTGAATTCCAATCGGCTGCGAAGCGTCATGTGGTTCCATAGCAACGGTGTCATTGTTGCTAAGGAGCCAGCCAAGCTGCTGGCGGCACAGCGGGTTAAGTGGGGGGGTGGGGGGGGGGGGGGGAGGGGAGGACGCGGGTATAAACGTTACGCTTTGAGGTCTAACGTCGTAAACCCGTACCCGCAGCTAGGGCTATGATGATGATGAGGGGACGCGTGATTTCAGCACGCGCCGCACCGAGCTTCGCACTCCCGCCGCTCACTCACCCAGCAGCGCAGCAGTCACCAGCGTGCCAGGGCGTTCTGTGCGGCTCACCGCCGCACTCCAGCCGGCGCTGCGGCCGCCTCTGCTCCTCCCGGCGCCGAGAATGCTTTCGCATTCACAACACAAAAACGTGCTTAGGTGTCCTCGAATTTTTTTTTTATTTTTTTTTTTTATTTTAGGAATTCTGTCAACAAAGCTTATTCAAGACATGTAATCTCGAAATCATAGGTTAACCGTGCAATTTTATTTTTAATGTGGCAAACGTCGCGGCTTGACTGGCTTTTGTCTGTCCTAAACTGCGTTTCACCTTACGTTCCGCCGCAGCCGATGCTACGAGCTGATGAGTTCAAAGAAACAGTTTAAAACGCGCAAGTCACTGGGCCTTACCTGTACATTATTGGATCAGCGATGATAGAACGTGTACAGAGACATGACGAGCATCTTGGTGGCGGCATTTCGACGCTGTGTGATTAGTTCCATCAGCTCGTTGCGGTCCCATCAACTTCTTTACATAAAAACACTTTTTTTATATAAAAGAAAAAACAATTTTCAAAAATAAAACAGTAATTACGTGATTTCGAAAACCAATTTAAACATATGACATTACATGTTGGTTTCCTCGTCATTCAATCAATACTTGCTAGCGCATGGATTGTTGGCATGCTATGCATATCTGGGCGATATCGATATATATCGCGACTCCAGCTTTTTGCTCGCCCTCTCGCGGCGGAAACCGGAACCACGATAGCGAGGGTCCCCGGAAGGCTGGTATGGCGGATCCCAGCGATAATTGCGTTCGTCCGTCGAAAAGAACTGCTTCTAAATCCAAACGGCACTGTTCGGTGCCCCAGTGTACCGCTGCGGTATGGAAAGATAACGGTGAATCGTTTCACCGCTTCCCCAACCTCAAGGAAACGTGCAGAAGAGGCTCCGACATCGTCAACCGACGCGAAGAGTGGGCGCGACTTCTTCGGACAGGGAAGACCGTCACCGAAGCGATGACGGTGTGCTCGCGGCATTTCTCTGCGAGCGACTTTTTATTGCCAGGTAAGAGTGTGCGGATTTGTGGAGATGTATATATATCTCGCTTTTTGGCTTTAGATGGTTCGGGGACTTTGTGCGGCGGCGTACACAATAAGAAACAACACATCCTCCATTGAATATTTTGCCCATTCTGTAGCGCAGTAGAACTCTTCACGCTGATTCAACTAGTTTTCTTGAACGCGCCTATGATCGAGAACATTTTCCGTTTTAGTTCTTTGCACTCGATCATCGTTACGTACGGCGAAGTGGAGCGCGTAAAAGAGAATCGCGCTCGTCAGCCTGGAGCAGTCTTCGGTACAGCACGCTCGATGTGGAATCGGGCGCGAGATTATTCCGGCACAATTAGCAGTGCACTTCTTTAATCTGAAGAGCTTTTCTTCTAACTGATCCAAATTTGCCAGAAGTGAAACGGAGGTTTCTCTTCTGCTCTTAGTTCTGATTACTTTTGAGCCCTGTACCCTCACAATGCGCGTGCAGTAGTTTTTCTCTCCTAAAATGACCGATTTCAGTTTGATTGCTTTTGCAAGCGATACACACCTACTCAGAGTCCCAGGAAACATGGGCTTAATTTCATTTTCTGGAATTTGCTCATTTTAGAGTAAAGTTTCGAATCAGAAGGCCAAAATGTTTTGTTTGCTTTCTGAAATGAGTCACTCTTCAAACTACTTCAGTCCCCATTATGTGATTATCATATCGTTCTTTATTTCCTCCAGGACATGCAACTCAAAGACGCCGTCTTAAGAGAGGAGTAGTACCCTCCCAGAACCTCCCTGTTCTTTCAACTGAAAACAAGGAGAACAGGAAGAGGTTGCGGGAAGTAAGCGAAGGCCGCCAGAAGCGACGCGATAAGAGAGCAGCAGTAAAGCCTCTGTTAGCCAAGGTAAATGCATGTCTCGCACAGTCTTTATTTTACTTTCCTATCAATTCAGTTTCTCATAAAAAGTTCAGGTTGATGTGCACACCTTAACACCTGTGACTCAGAAAGTGTGTATAAATATGCCTAAACTTTATTCCAGGTTGCACTCTGCGAAGCTGAGAAGTCCTGCAATCAAGTGGACGACAACGCAGAGTCGGTTGAAGATCATGAAGACAGGGCAGAGTCGGCCGAGGATGGTGAAAGCAGCACAGTGCCCCTGCCTGTTGCGTCGCCAGTGGTCCTCCTTGACATGGGTGTACAGGTGTCAAGTGGGGACTTTGGCGAGAACTTTTCTCGTGTGGTAAATAAGGAAAATGTGTGTTCCTTTACCGGCCTTCCCAACATGGAGCTTCTCACTGTTCTAGAGAAGCTCGTGTCTGATACGACGCCCACATCAACACGAGCTTACCTGTCAGCAAAAGACAAAATAGTCATGACTATGATGGCCTTGAAACATGCTCTAACATTTGACTTCCTGTCTCAGATCTTTGGAGTGTGTCCGACCACAGTGAGCACCACTGTACGGAAGACAACAAGGGTCCTTGCGGCATTTCTTAAGACTGCCATAACTTGGCCATCCAAGGATGAAGTTCTGCATAACTTGCCGGTCTGTTTTGAGAAGTTTTCGCATGTTCGTGTTGTGCTCGACTGCACGGAAATTCCTGTGGGCACTCCGAAGTGTTTGAGGTGTCGCATCAGCACATACTCCCATTACAAAAAGGGACACACCATAAAATATATGGTAGGTGTTTCACCTGGTGGTTTAGTGACCTACGTCAGTAGTGGTTACGGAGGTCGAGCCTCGGACAAGGCTATCTTCGACCAAAGTGGTTTGGTAGATATGCTCTTGCCAGGAATAGACCACATAATGGTGGACAAGGGGTTTCTCATTGACAGCACATGCGAAACAAGGCTGATAGCTGTGGTGAGGCCCCCATTCCTACATGCAAAAAAGCAGCTCTCAAAGGGTGAAGCCCTTGCAACAAAGCGCATAGCAGCAGCAAGGGTTCACGTGGAGAGGGTGATTCAAAGAATCAAGCTGCTCAAGATTGCATCTCAAAAGATGCCCTGGCACATGGTGCCACTAGCAGATGACATTCTTACCATTGCATGTGCCTTAACCAATTTGTCTCCACCAGTTCTCGCAGACAGCAGGTTTCTTTAAGCTTTTCATAAAGGGACGGGGCTTTGGTTAGCTTAAGAGGTAAGCACGCACTTTTCAGTCGAGATCAGAAATAAAACCTTTTTTTTTCCTCAAAAGAATTGAGGTTTAATTTACATCACCTGGGGACATTTTTGGATATATATATTTTTTATTAATTTAAAGTATAACAGGCTAAACCAAAACTGTGTGTCTTTTGGCTGTTCTGCAGCATTGCTATCAAGGTAAGAATGTCATGAGTTTTGCTGCAAGATGACGTCTTCAGTATGAAGGTGGTGTACTGTGAACAATTTAGTTTTGAACCCCTGCACAAAATTGCCCCTTGTTTGTATTGGATTGCCGCAAAATTGCCAAAACTGTTTGCATGTGTATTAATGTAAAGTATAGCTTTAAGTTTTAAAATGTGTATAATTTGAAGTATGTCAATTTGTGATAAATATGTATTCTATGCTTCGTGCTTTACCGCCGAGGCCTGTGAGCTGTTTGTAAGCACGCGAAAATAAACACTGAATTGAATCATCCCTGCTACAATTGTTAGTACTTTATCGCACTTGCTTCTGTCACCCTGAAGCGATTCTGCAAAACGCTGCTTTGTTGGTGTAGCCTTTCAAGACTTCACTTTCAAAGCTTCATATTGACTCCATATTTTGTTATGTGTGGCCTGCATGTCTATGTTAACATGTTTTATTATCACCATAGTGATATTATATCAATGGCTCACCTCTCTACCTCACTCGTTGCATTACCTTGTGTCACCGTGAAACAATCCTGCCAGGCACGTAGCCAGGATTGTTTTTTTTTTTTTTTTTGGGGGGGGGGGGGGGGGCCGTAAGCTGAGAGACTTGCCTTGTGCAGGCAGTGAAATGTTTCTTAGTGAAATATCGGCTCTCACTCTGAGAGCAGGACATTCTTCTGTAACATCTTAGGCCAGCTTCAAGCACTTTCGTGATCCATTTGGCCTTCACACTTGTCTGGTAGTGCCCAATGCGAGGAGATGGCAGCAAATGCCAAGGAACAAACACTAGGTAGCAATGTTTTGGTACAAAGGCATTGCAGTACAAGTTACACGAGTCGCAGAGGAAGCTGGTCTCTGAGGGACACAAGTTTTTGAGTGAAACTTGAGTTTCTTTGTGTAGATTTATTATTAATAAAATATTGCACACTTCTATACAGTTGCTTTCATGCAAGCATCACAGTAAGGAAATTTCAACTTGTTGAAGACAGGTACTAATTCTACAATTTACACGGTGAATGAAGATGCCTGTTTAAGAGTTTAGGATAAATGTTTGTAATTTTGTTCAACATGCATGTTTAGAATGTGAAAGCACCGGTTCTCCTTTGAAAGTTAAATCTAGAAAAAGGTAGGAACAGCGTATGACCACAAAACTTCCTTTTTCTCGAGATGGTGATGAGCGTAGAACATTCACTTTAGTTTTAAATTATAGCATGAACGTAATTGAGCTAGTAGTATATCTCATAAATAATTATTTTATCACATAACAAGCACATGCATACGTCTTCATGTACCACATCAACAGTTCCTTCTGAAGTTAGCAGAAATAAATACTGAGGAATAATCAATCCGAAGAAATAACTAGAAGTTTGAGAGCTTCTAAAAGGACAGTATTGAGCGAATTCTGCATTCTGACCTCAAAGTAAAAATAAGCGCCAAGTTCTTTCCCAACTATACTCTCACACATAGTTTCCTACTGAAGAATGCAGGAGGTGACCAACTCTTGAGACAAAGCCAACAGGAAAAATATTTAACGAGGCAAAACTGTTGCTTCACTGCAAATATGCTACTGCTCACAAAAAAAGATGGCAAAAAGAAAAAAAATGAATCTGTCCTGTAGCCCACTCTAAAAAAACAACAAAGAAAAGTACTGCACTCTAGCGGTCCAACACAGTACACCAGCTGCCGCACCAAGTATCAGACTAGTCGTGTTTTTCACTCTACCGACGAACATAGGACTGGAAGTACACGCTCAAAGTAAATTCTCTTTACGGTTGTCAGGAGAGGCCAAACGAAAGCTTCATCGAAATCCACGCATATGACCTCGATTGAATCATCCATGCTAGCATAAATAACAAGATCACAGGTCTTCACATCAAGAAGAACCATCCCCAGCTGCATCTGCCCATAGAAGGTGTGGCGCTTCTTTTGGCTGTAGGTACCAGCCTCGTCAGTCTCCAGAAAATCACAGGTGGCCAAGAGTGCCTTTGCAGTCATCATTTCTCCCTTCTTGGGACACTTGATTTCGATCAACGTGCCTGGTCGCGACCCCTCGAACACAACGCCATCAGGGGAGCAGCCGAGCCAGGGGTTTTGTGGCGAAACAACGAGTCCACACGTAAAAATGTCAACTCGTCGGGTCTTTGCATACTTCTCCCGTGCCTTTGGCTCGTATCGTAGACCATGGGCCGTTGCGGCATTGCCACGGAATGATGGCTGCATTGTGGACCGCACCTTCTTTTCCCAGTTTCCCAACTTGTAGGTAGAGAGGGGGTAGCATGTTGTTCCTGCAATAAAATGTAGCAAGCAGGTGGTTCCTGGCTTACATTCCAGTAAATACAGCACATAACGTAACAAAATCTGCCTCTCTTGCAAGTCAGGTTACAGGCAGCACTAATTTAATGCACCAGCCATGCTTCTTAGGTCATACATGACACGCCCAGGAACATGAGTGGAAACTACAAAAGCCGGCACCGAAGCACTTGCACGGTAGCCAGGCTTTTGCTCCCTGGTGTACATCCTGATTAAATAAGACCAATGTCGCTTCTCTGATAACTCGGTAAATATTCGTTCATCAAGCGAACCAAGTAAATGAATGCTCTTCTGCTTTGGTTTGAATTATTAATCCTTTTGCTGTCTGCATGGTGTGGGCACAGGAGAAAAATGCAGGCAAATTCACCATGACTAGGCACAACTGCAAGGGAACAAGGAAGTTCTTGAACTTTCCATACTCCGAAAACCTTTTTTGAAAGCGAGCTGCACCTACCGTGTCCAAATGCAACTAGAGGAATGGTAGTTTCCAAATAAAATATTTATCTTAAAACTTCAATTATTTTTAACATTTTTAATGTTTCACATTATAAACGGTTGAAACGCGTGCAATTACAGTATGGAAGCTACCCGAACCTTTCCACGACTCGATGTTTGGTTGTTCCTTTGAATCCTTATCTAGATAAAGATTCGTCCCATTACTAGTTATTAATACACAATAGACTTGCCTGTGATCCGGCAGCGACGTTCCATCATCCAGGCTGCCTTGTTCTCTTTTGTGTCCCGAAGCATGACAGCGGCTGTTTCAACAGAGACAGCGACTTGTTGATCGTAGAAAGAAGAGCAGCCTTCCGGAGGAGAGGCCGGAACTGCGGCAAGCCTTGCCAAAAGATCACTGCCTTCGGCGCACTCTATGACCTGCCTGTACTTCTCGTCCAGCCTTGACGGTTCCGGGACACTGGAAATAGACCACAAGCCAATCTGTACAGTGAACATGATCAAATAGAGCCTCATGACAGTGGCTCAAGCGAAAGTAATGCATAGAGATTCTGCAACCTTAACTTTGCTTGTTTTTCTTTACTATAAAACACAGACAAAGCTCATGTCTAGTATAAATTTTATTCAAATTCTTGTCTTATGCAGACCCCACACCGTTCCAGCTTGCATGTATAGTAATGGGATATGAAACACCAAGCTACTATGAGAGAGATGTTTGTACAGTCCATCAAATGCTGATCCATTGTTAAATCTGAGATTATCTTACTTACTGCACCTGCTACATTGCTACATTCTAATTCATACATACTGCACATACTAGTCCAAGGTTAAGGCTCGTTCCCATAGTTGTGAGCGAGTGTGACTACGACCGCTCACTACGACGTGCGGAACCCATCATAGGGAAGCTGGGGAAACACGAGAAGTCTCTACCTTGCGCACCCTATCATCCATGGGTAGGAATTACAGCTTTCGGCAAAACAAAACGAGCAACAAACTGTTGTGTGGTGCATGCGGCCTCTCTTGGTGAAGCGAAAGTTGTGCCGGCGGTACACCAGCGAACCTAGTTGCAATAATCAGGCACCTAACAAGTAATGAGTTTTAGTTAGAACATTACCCAAACAAAGGCGACGGCCAATGGGTTGTAATGAAAATTGTGCTTCATATGTGGCCGAAGTTTGGTTAAAGCTCTCCCCGTGTAATTCGGAAGACAGTTAAGAAGTCCCAAGCTAGAGGCTCCACATTTCAAACCCTCGTTGAAATAAAAATTGCTGATAACAAACGGCCCCTATTTTTCAACAGATCCAGTGTGTTTGACGAATTATGTGATTACAAAGCAGGGAGGAAAGCAAAAAAACAGTGTTGAATCAACATGTATTATTGCGATCATAGCGACAGCTGGCTTTGCCGAGTACCACGACAAAACATTTGTGCTAAATTCTTTTTACCTCGGAAATTGGGACTGAAAGACCAAAGCATTTGCAGAGATGCGATTGGTCGTAGTCATTTTGGAGCAGCTATTGGAGCAGCCAAAAGTTCATTTTGGAGAAGCAAAAAGAGCTTATGGAGCATAACCGCACACTTCATTTTCATCTATATCACTGCAAATGTGACGAGGAGACGGCAAATATTAAAACAAACACTAGCTGTTTAGTTGTGTGTGGAAGCACTGGACATGGTAACAAGACGGCGACTGATGAAGGACAGTGCAAACTGCCGTGAGTGATTATTTTAGGTATGAAATCCCACTGAACAAATGTTGAAATACAATCATTTTGGACACTTAGATTTATCTGTCCTACAAGTTCTGGGGGGAGGGGGGTTGTAACAAAGCTGCAATTTATAATTCAGACAAGAAACAAAGAACAAAGCATAAAAAATAAACCTACAAAAGCATGGGCCACGTCTCGCTCTGGAGGAGTACCTGTCCCCTTAGCACGCAGGCGCGCTGCGGCGAAGCAAGACACACAACATCACGATGCCTAGTTCGCAATCGTCGTTTCACTGCAGCACACCAGTATGCAGTGAGAAGCGCACTCAACAGAGCTAAGTAACCCACCAGAACAGACCACGAGAGTTATTGCGAAACTTCCGAGTACTGTCAGTGCTTGGTGCAAAATCAAATCGAACAGTAAGTTATTTGAGGCGATTATCGAAAGTCCTGAAAACCCGCACGAGCCTACCGTAACGATCCGGCCCGGTAGCAAGGCCTGCAACTGTTATATTTTCAGTATTTTTTAAGTGAACTTAAGTTCTGGCGCAAATTCCTCACATTTTGGTCAAATGTAGCAGGGTAAGCACTTTGGCGCAAATGGCGCAGCAATCACATCACCCATTTGCCGCTCCCCCAACCCCGGTATCCCCGCTTGATCAGCGACATCATTCCACACAGCACAACCAAGCAGAGCAAGCTTCCCCCTTATGCTTACGGGATCATCACCCGACCCATCAAGCTTAGCCACCCCTTCAACAAGTGGCCAATGGTATGATAAAAAGAAGTAAAGCGGAAAATACTTGTCCTGTCGGTATTTTCAGTCACTTATGAATGCCATTCTCGAAGAGTCGAACACACACACACATCCTAGGTGCAAATTCTTGCACTGGATTGCAGCACACACACAGACAGGGATGTAAACAAAGCAACAAAGCAGCATTTCAGCATAATCCCATCCTTACAGTGAGTGAAGGAAAGCTAGGACAGCTTTCCTACTTCGGTAGAAGGAAGCTAGGTAGTCACACCTAGTCGTAAACAGTTGCAGTCTCACTCAATCTTAACTGTGTGAAACAGCCTTTGTACTGTACATAGTCGACAAAGGATAAGCAAATACATTTTTAGCTCACCTGCATGACCGATCAGCCCGCCTCCTCCTCCTGTAAAAAGAAAAAAACAACAAACAATTGGATTCAGTATGTAAACAATACTCTAAATCTTGCATCTATGTATTGAAGGTTCAGCAACAATGTTTGAAGGCCACAGTAAGTCAAATCCCGACGTTTCTGATACATAGACAAAAGTTAAATTCAACCAAAACATGTGGCTGAATATTAAGCAATAAAATAAATAGACATGGCAACAGTCACTGCTCATCATTGAGTAATGCCACCCATTACCTTTGATAGAACGGCTTATTAGGCCCTCATAATATTGCGACACCATATTCGTAAAGTTTCCATACATAAAATTTAATAAAATGACATGAAAAGTTCAACAACCTGAAGGATACACTTCCTTAAATTGTTGTGAAAGGAGACAGAAAGCAACGAGGAAGGTTAAGACATACGAGGGGAATATTGATTAAAACCTTACTTTTTGCCGGAGGTCGGTAGGTATGGCCTTCTCGACATATTGCCGCGATCATACCCAGCAGAGTCGGCAGCGCTCTTAATGGCCTCACGCGCATGTCGCTCGGGTATGTCTCCCACCACTGCATAACATCTTATCTTTTTTTACCATAAGTGGACGGTTTCAAAGGTTGGGGAAACGTGTAGTTTGTTCATGTTCAGAGTGCATAGTTCCCGAACGATAGAGGTAGAATGTTTTAGGCTGCCAGGGAAGACTCAAAAAAAGCCGCGGTACGATGTATGGAGTCAGCCTATTGCAAGCGCTCCAGCCAGCCTTTTCGCCGACATCAACACCCGCAATGCCTGCTGTCTGTTGTGGCACAGGTTCGCCAGGAAACTTTAGTTTCTTCAGTTCTTCACTGCCTTGTAACTTGTCATACGTGACAATTTGGTGAAGTAACGGGGTAGAACTGAAGAAACTAAAGTTTACTGGCAAATTTGTACCACGACAAAAGACAAAGCGCTCGGAACTGATTGCCGCTGACAACACTATTCAAGCCGATTGGAATGAATTTGCTTGGCCTATTCGCACCACTAATGCAAGGAAACAGGTGGATAATCGTCGCAATAGATTACGTTGCATGATATGCCGCGAAGAGAATCCTCCCATTGGAAACTGCTGTGTAAGTCGCCAAATGCTTTGTCAAGTGCAGTGTCTTCAGACACAGTGTCCCCGAGGATCTGTTCACAGACTGAGGATCCTCGTTTGTGGCGCAGCTAACTCAAGGAATCCTTCGGCTCAGCCACACCAGCCATCGTCGCACCACTGCGTACCACCTGCAAACCAACGGGCCGAAAGAGCGTTTGAACAAGACCATAGCCAACATGACTTCCATGTATGTCGATGTGGAGCACAAGACGTGGAACGAGGTGTTACCCTAAGTCACGTCTGCCTACAACACGGCGTTGAAAAAGACGACTGGTGTGACGCTCTTCCAGCTGGTTCAGGGCCGGATGGTGACGACTATGCTCAATGTGATGCTGCCCCACGAGCCAGCTGATGACAGGTGCGGCGGCGCCTAGGTGGTTGTTCAATGGGCAGAAGACTGCTAGCTTGCCCGGTACATATATATGTAGAACTGATCACCTAACAAGCGCCCATCCCCATGCTTTTCTTGATTATCTCCAAAATCTCCAAATTTTGAGTGGGCATTTTTGCTCGGTATTTTACGGTAGGTAAAACTGACCTAACAAGTGCTCATCCCTTAATTTCTGCTATTATTTTCACATTTTGAGGAGGCGCTTTCTTGGTATTTTACGGTAATCTGACATCCACCAATGAATGAATGAGCACGTGGAACAAGCACTTATGTAGCCTCAAGGATCCTGTCATCATCTGTCCGCATGTGAGAAGTTCTGACCAAAATATTGTCCTGTCGAGGCTCACAAACAGCAAATACGGCTTTGCATTGGCCAAGTGTGCCCATTCAGCACAAAGCTCTGACATTGCTCCCAATCACCAGCTTTAAAGGCTATTACTAGCCGCTTTGACATGAATGCGACTTGAGCATATCAACTCCAATCGTTCTTCAAATGGAACCGATGCGGCAATGTTTACATGAATGCACACCAAGCCCTACGCAAAGGTGGTGCCACACCGTGTGAAAGCTCAACGTTAAAGCTGAGTTTCCGGCACCAGCCGTACCACATGACCACGTTTTCCGGTGCATTGCACGTGAAGGCCTTTCGACGCTTTTGGTGAACGTAAACATCAGAGATAAAGATTATGCCCGCTGTCTTTGATGCTGTGGAAGAAGTTGTGAGACGGAAAGACATCAAAACCCAAGCATTTTGGTCTCCAGGCCGTCGTGCCACTCTGGACCAGAGGAGACGCACATGCACACGCTGTGGCGAGCAAAATCGTTTCCAAACGCGCTGAGGAATCTACAGCGCATCGTCCCGCTAGCTGCGACCAGACAAACCGGAGGCTGAAAGGCTCCGGCGCAGCCAGGAATGGCACCGCGGTAGGAGCTGCTCGTTCTGCGCTACCATGCAGTGCTCGGAGCTCTCGGCGTAGTTCGTGCTTGCGCTGAACCCTTCAGGGACCCCCTCCGACGCGTAAGTCATACTTCGCGAGGCTTGGACGGGGGCTGCCCTCACCGAGTAGCTCAGCTATCTCCGCTCACTTATGAAGGCAATAAAAGCTTGCGTTTTTCCCTGGGAGAAAACTGCGGACGACAACACAGCACCGCTCTCCGCGCCGCCAAAGAGGTTGGCCGCCGCCGTGTTCTCAGCTGTTCACTCGTTCTCGCAGCGGACGCCTTCCCATAAGCCTGCCCTTTCCAAAATGCGATGAGACCTCCGTTTACATGGGCTGAATGAATGCGCATCTGCCACCTCGATCTACCTTCGTCTATCGACTTGAATGCGAATCACTTCCTTAGCGCATTATTCTGTGAACATGACCACATCGAATGCGACAACCTGAATCGGTGCAACTAAGTAACATTCATAGCCGCGTTTACATGAATACGACTTCAGCACATCGGCCCCAATCGTCCTTCGAATGAAGCCGACACAGCAATGTTTACATGAATGTGCACCAAGCCCTATGCAAAGGTGGTGCCACGCCGTGTCAAAGTTCAAAGTTAAAGCTGCGTTTCTGGCACCGGCCACACCCCGTAACCAACTTTTCTGGTGCATCGCACGTGAAGGCCTTTCGACGCTTTCGGCGAGCATAAAGACTGCGCCAGCTGTCTTCGATGCTGTACAAGAAGTTACGAAACGGAAGAAGCATCAAAACACAAAGGTTTTGGGCTCTGGGTCGGGCCACCGGGCCACTTTGGGTCAGAGGTGATGTGCGTGCACACGGCCTGGCGAGCGAGATCTTTTCCAACCGCTCCAAGGACGCAACCTTGCTTCTCCTTGCCAAACCTTGCGAACTGCGACCGGACCCCAAAGCCGAAAAGCTCTGGTGCAGCCAGGAATGGCACCGAGGCAGGAGCTACTCGTTCTGCGCTACCATGCAGTGCTCGGAGCTCGTGCTTGTGCTGAAGCCTCTAGGGACTCCCTCGATCGTGCAAGTTGCATCTTGCAAGGCTTGAAGAGGTGGCACCCTCACCGAGCAGCTCAACTATATTCCGCTCACTTAGCATAGCAATAAAAGTTTGCGTTTCTTATCAGGAGAAAACTGCGGGCAACCACACAGGACCGCTCTCCGCAGCCAGAGCCTTCCCATAATCCTTTCCGTTCCAAAATGCGGTGTAACCTCCGTTTACATGGGTTGAATGAATGGGCATTTGCCGTCTCAATCCACGTCTGTCTAGCAACTTGAATGCAATATGCTTCCCTAGCGCATTATGCCGTTTACATGACTGGATTCAATGCGACAACTGGATTCGATGCGGTTAAGTCGCAGCTACTGCCACCAGGGATCACAGTTTGACACAAGACGAATATGCTGATAAGATACGGTGTGCTTACCAACATCTAAATAATCAATATGTGACGAAAAAAAATGTAATCAATATGGTTTGTTTTTGTCACTTAGCAACACTCAAGCCTAGGCAGGGGACACCTACCTGTGTCTCAGGACGGGCGCACAGAACAAAAGACACTTATAAGATGAATTCGTCCCTACCTATGCTTGGCGAGCGCAGAATTAAAGCAGGCGCCTGTCAGCTGCTTGAGGATAGCTGCCTGCGCCTCGGGTGAAGGCTCCAGCGTAGGTCGGAGCTTCTTTACATGACAGAACATCTTGTACGGCACAGGATCGCCATACAACTCCTTTCCAGGGGTCTTTTTCCACGCGCACTCCTTGTCGGTGCAGCTTAGATCTTCGAGATGCTGGATTCCCTTTCTGTAAAATGAAACCGAAACTATAAAGCTCGCATGGCTTACAGGTAATCAGCGACGCGTCTGTACTGTGCTTTGAGTATGCAATACAGTACATCACATGAGCGAAATACTATCATGTTAGAAACAGGTTCGTTGGTTTAAAAATGGGACCGTGCTACGATCGCGCCGACGCTCTGTGCGCCTATGAAACCTGGCGCCGGCAACAGAGAAACACTTAGGGGCTACCCTACGCACGCATTTTAACCACCACCGTGAAAATAGTTATCGTGTTTCAAAGCGCGACACCTGCGTGCGATATCAGTATGCGACGCGCCTGCGCTCAAGAGATACGAGCGAGCATTAATCAGAGCCGCCGAAAGACTACACCGAACTCGCGCCAGTCGTACCGTGTTGTGTAGGTTGCTAGGTGCCTACCTGTTGCAGTGAAGAAGCGTGGCGACAGCGTGCTTGCAGCATTCTGATGATCCCGCCACGCACGAGCAGACGGCACTGTCCACACGGAACTTTGGGCCATCTCCCGCGACAAGTTTTACGGTGATCTCATGCGGATCGCCTCGGACGCTGCTCGTTGCGAGGCACAACGCCAATATTTCAACGTTGTCCTCGGACGACGATGTTTTGCCGCAAAGAAACAAATGCCCGGCCTGTAACAGGAGGTCCGCTTCCTCGTAGCACCGCGAATATTTCGTAGCGTTAGCATATTCCAAAATACTCGTAAGGAGCAGGGCTCTCGCCGTCCAACCGACCCTCACTAACTCCGCCATTTTGAAAATGCAGCGGCGCCCCCTATAGTGATTTGGAGTCGCGAGTACGTCCTTTTAGTTTTGGGTCAGGCTGTGCAGATTCCATCGTAAAATTTAATTTCAATTTTTGCAGTTTTTTTTTTTTTTTTTTGCAACCTGCCACGAACATAAGCATTTCTTTAAAAGCCTACCGCGGCCCCACAGTTAACGCGAGCGCCCCGATCCGATAGATACCCTTTCGTCATGCTTTGTCGAGTATGAAATGAAAATACAAGCATCTTTCTCATTTAAAACAACAACAATAATAACTAGTTTTGACTAAAGCGTAAGATAAAATTATTATCTTAAGCAAATAAAAAAAAAATATAACTCTCGAGAAGGTCTAAAATTATTTAAAACATGTCCACACAGACACACTCACACACACAGATACACACATACGCACACACACACACACGCGCGCACACGCACGCGCACGCACACACTCACAACACACACACACACGCGCGCACGCGGGCACGCACGCTCGCACGCGCTCGCACGCGCTTGCACACGCACGTACAGCACACGCACGCACACGCACACACAGACACGCACATACGCACGCACACACACACACGCGCACACACACGCGCACGCACACGCGAACACACACACACACGCGCGCGCACGCGCGCACACACGCTCGCACGCACAGGCACGTACAGTACACGCACGCACAAACAAACAAATAAAGTCCCGCATTTCGAAAAGGTTAAACAGGCTGCTGCTCAATTTTTATTTCAGGATACGATTTCGTCTCGATCGGATCAATTGACAAAACTTAACGTCTCAACTAATACACTTTACGGCTTCCGCAAAAAATAAAAGAAACATAGATACTTTTGTTTCAATGATAAAGTTGTGTAACTGATTCATTATTTTTTTACTGCATTGTAAAAAAGTAAGCACCAAGGTACACGTGTCTTCCTTGTGCTTTATTAGTCTCACGTTTGTTAGGTTTGCGTATCACCAGTTTCCTTCCGCACAGATCGTACACTCTAAAAAAAGCCCGTGAGTCTGCTTTCCCGCACAACACTCGGAGAGCCAATCACCGCCACTTACAGAGGCAGCTCAGCGAATGACGATGCTGAAACACATGTTTAGACCAAAAAACGCAGTCTGAGTTGTGACATTAAGCAATGCAAGCGTGGCGTTTTGCATTGATTAATGTCACAACTCAGACTGCGTTTTTCGGTCTAAACATATGTTTCCGCATTCTCATTCGCTGAGCTGCTCCGTAAGTTGCGGTGATTGGCTCTCCAAGTGTTGTGCGTGAAAGTAGACGCACAAACGTTTTTTGCAGTGTATTTTCGGGTCTATTCGCGACTCTAATTCACTATAGGTGGCACCACTCGTTTTCCAAAATGGCGGGAATAGGGAGGGTCGGAGACGCTTGCCGGTATACCAGTTGCTGAGCCTGTGTAGTGTGCTGGCTTCATTGAGATTATTCCTGCTTGTACGAGAAAGCTAGGGTGTTATGAGCGCAGGTCACCTTTTCATCAAGAAAAGAAAAACGTTGTTTAGCGTAATATTTACGCCAGTGGGCGTTTTACTTCTGGAACTAAGCCGAAACTAACCTCTATTTTGGATTTAATTTCTCTGTATAGATGTTAATTTCAGATTCTTTCATAACTCAAGATATGTATCACAGTGTGATTATTAAGCTAAAACCGTTTTTCGTGGAAACTTTATTGTGTGACATACGTGTTCGACCAAGGCGCTAGTGTTTTGGAGAGTTCAGTGTCCCTTTAAAGACAGGGTCTTTCGTACACTTTATAGGTTCCATAAAATATAGTATTTGTTGGAAAAATGAGCGCTGATATTTGTGTGTCCTGGCTGCCTATTCTTGCTCAGATAATTGTCACGTGAAATAATGAACTGCGGGCCTTTTAATGAACTTTCGGATATTTATATGATTGATTGCTTCAGCATTATTCCCAGCACAAGGATAACAGGATTAATCCAAATTATACAAAACATCGCCAGGCGTGATGAGTGTGGTGTGCGTGATTTCTTTTTTGAAATCAGCGTGTGACGCACGAGACTATATTACATTGACTATCTTGATAACGATGTAAGAGCTCTCCATATGCTAAAAAGAAAACAAAATGAGACCTTTCTGGAAAAACTGTTATGACTAAATGGCCAATTTTTTTTTTATCGTGGCATTTATTGAGGGCCTACATTGCCGCAATATGTAATAATAATATTAATAATGATATGGGAATATTTTATAACATAGTTTTTCAAGCTCTAATATAATTTGTTGCTTATGATCTAACTTCACTGGCGCGAACAAGGTCGACTATCAAAAGTGTGCGAATTGTCATCACTGGTGCCAATTACAGCATTTTAATTAAAAAAGTTCTAAAATAAAAAATACTCGAAAATCAATTCATTATTTCCGACCCGCGTCGAAATAGAGCCACGGTAGAGGTAGCTGTAAGCAAACAGCCAATACTAATGCGTAGCCTAAAGAAAATTGTTTACTCAATGAATGAACAAAAATATAAACAAAATGTACGTACCCCACGACAAAATTTTATCTCTACGGCGTTTATTTGTGTTCTGTGTAAAAGGGTACATTTTATTCAATCGCCGTACGACAGCATCCGAACTACAGCCAGCTTGCACGAAAAACACATCCCTCGGACACCACAGTCGTCCTCAACACGACGACGAGGGGCGGAAAACAAGCTGATCCACGAAATGGGATCAGTTATTCACGCGAAAAAGGGGAAGCAAACAACGCAACAAAAAACAAAAAAAGAAGGTTTTGGTATTCATGGTTTTTCTGAAATTTGACCATAAATTTGGACGTTCAATTTTGATCGGCTAGTTCCCGTTTTTGGGGTGTCTTTCAACCTACCAAGGAAGGTAACTACCTAATAAAAATTCTTAATGCTGAAGCCACACAACCGCACACGCGTGCACATAATTATATTGAACGTTTGATACATTTTGAAAACAGTCGTTACAGCGTGTGCGACAACACAACGCTCGGACACGGTAATAAAAACGTAATCTCGCATGCGCCGGCGGCGCTGCCGATTTTAGCCTTCCCAGTGTTGCCTCATTTGGCCACGGTGGCGCTGGTGATCAACCCACGGTGGCAAGCATCGGAACCCTGCCCAGCGCCTATATGTCGCACCACTTTATAGGTCCGGCATCCCTATAAATGCCCGTTTTATATTATAATATATATATATATAATTTTTTTAACTCTTTTTAGATTGGTCTGGGGGTGCGCGGAGTCATAGCAGCCTAGAGTCTACACCGCCACGCTTCGGACCACTTTGGAGAGCAGGCCATCGGCGGCTATCCTGCCGGTCTTTCCGTGTCGTAAATGTTTCTACGGCCTACATTTTTGCATAGTTAATGCCTATGGTTATGAGGAAAACAGCATACATATAAGTCGCTCGGTTGAATAAGGCATGCCGACGAAAATTTGAGGGAAAAAAATGCAAAAATACAAAAAAAAAAAGGAAACCGGGACTTACACAGCCGAAAATGGCATATTTTTTTTTTCAGTTAACCAAAAAAAAAAAAAAAAATGCAGGGACGCTTTTGGAATTGAGGTGGCTTGTAACAGTATATGTCCCATTTAAAAAAAAAAAAAAATTTTGAAAAGATGAACGCAGCTGTAAATGTTCCCGGGAATATACGTGAAGTTAGGTCTCGAAGCACCCGATATCGGTGTATTTTGTGTGTCCCGGGATGGAAACGAAGAACACGTTACACCTTCCTTCTTATCGGCCGCATCCACGCAACTAAATTTTCCGCAAACGCTGACGCCCGTGATGCTTCGGAATACATACAATGATGCCAAACTTTGCGCGAGGAATATTGATGTAACAAAAAGTTTGACGCGGATATGCGCGGGCTTATACGGTCGCATAGTTCTACCGGCATTGATTTATTGGCGGGCGGCAACGTGGAGCCAAAGCTTCACATGGGAGCGAGAAATCCGTGTTTCCAAAAAACCACGACGACGTTGGCAGGCACAGACAGCATCGTGAAACTTCAAAGGGCGGATATTACAGACGGACTCTTGAAATGGAATTTCACGAAACCAAGCACGGACCGGGGGGGGGGGGGGGGGGGGGGGGGGGGGGGGGAGTTTGTGGTAAAGTCCTATCCTATTTTCAGAGTAGCAACCAGAAATCGTTCCTCTCGAAATGGAAAACTTTCACTGGTTCCTATTACTACATAAACGAAAAAAAAAAAAAAAAAGTATCGTATTTTTGTGGACTGTAGTTCGCGGACTATACATGTTCGAAATTTGAAAATTTTGCACGGTGCGGATTATTTACAAGTGCCGACTATAATCAGATTTTCTTTTCCTAGATGGTTCAGTACGATAAGAAATATAGGATTTTATGTACGGCAAGGTATATTAATTTTGATTTATTTCTATAATGCAAGCTTCTGTGAGATCTAATACAGCAAATATTTGTCAAGGTGTGCAGTGTGTGATAATTTTTGCGTTCGGATTAGACATGTGCACTATACGCCCGGACCATGCACGGCTTGCGGACTATGCGCCGGGATTATCTAAGCAAACACTTATTTTCAGCCCCAATTTGCCCCTGCGTACTAGAGCCCTGAAAAGACGGTAAATACTGTTTTAGAAATATATCCCCCGCGTTTACACTTGCAGGAATCATGTTGCTATCTGGTAGGAAATACAGGGTGCCGTCGCGAAGACCGACACATTAGGCACGCCTCGCAAAATTCGAACGTAGATAGCTGAGATTGGGCACGAGAACGTAGCTTCACCGGAAGTTTTGTGCCTAACTGTTTTTAAGGCTCAATTCTGAGGTAGTGAAATATAAAACATATAGCGAATTCAGACCCCGCGTATTTCCTATGTCCTTACTTCAGCGTGTGTGCCGTCTGCACATTGGTTTACGAGCTCGCTCTCGATCTAGTGGCTTTCTGAACGCCAAAACGCTAAAAACCAACAGTAGGGGCTGGCC